TCTGCTCTGGGCCAGGGAGTCCTGCCTCTCAGAACCACCGCCAAGAGATGCCTTCACCTGCACCCCCCGCCCGTGGTGTAAAAGCCCCTCGCTGCCCGTTGGAACTGGCCGTGCCAGCAGCAGCCTGCCTCCGTTTGGGTCCCTCCCGCAGAGGCGCCTCCTTCCCCAAGTCCCCCCGTTCCTAATGCCCCAGCCTTTCCTCCCCGCCCTGGCTCGGCCGGGCCCTGCCATGGAGGTCCTGGCCTTCGCTCTCAGTCATGTCTGATAACCACTCCCCGTCCTGTCACCCGGCTCCTCCCAGGAACGGGCCCCCTCCCCTGCCAGGCGCCTCCGCCCCAAGGGCGCCCACTCAGGTCTGCCCGTCCTTCCCTTCCAGGAACAGAGGGGCCTGTGGGGTGTGCCGAGCAAGACTGCCTGGCCCCGGGCAGCTGGAGTCAGTCCCTCCGAGAGGTGGGTGCCCTGCGGAGCAGGCAGAGTGGGGCTGGGGGTCAGCGCAGGGGATGCGGCAGTGGGATGCAGGGTGCACGGGAGTGTGTGTAGAGATGGGATGCAGGATGTATGGGCGCGAGGGGGTGCCAGGCAGTTAGGGAATGTGGGGGGTTGGGATGTGTGAGTGCATGCAGGTGTGTGTATAGGGGTGGGATGTGGGGGTGCATGCTCTGGGTGCGTGGGGTGGGATGCAAGGATGCATGTGTGTGTGTATGGGTGTGATGTGGGGGTGCATGGTGTGTGTGTGTAGGAATGGGATACAGGGTGCATAGGATGTCCGTGTAGTGGGGGGACGTATGGGTGTAGGGATGGGTCATGGGGTGTGTGTAGGGGTGGGATGCGGGAGTGCATGGGTGTGGGGATGTAGGGGTATAGGGGTGGGCTGTGCGGGTGTGGGGTGTGGGAGTGTAGGAGTGGGCTGCGGGGGGTGTTTAGAGGTGGGGTGCGGGAGTGCATGGGTGTGGGGATGTAGGGGTATAGGGGTGGGCTGTGCGGGTGTGGGGTGTGGGAGTGTAGGAGTGGGCTGCGGGGGGTGTTTAGAGGTGGGATGCGGGAGTGCATGGGTGTGGGGATGTAGGGGTATAGGGATGGGCTGTGCGGGCGTGGGGTGTGGGAGTGTAGGAGTGGGCTGCAGGGGGTGTTTAGAGGTGGGATGCGGGAGTGCATGGGTGTGGGGATGTAGGGGTATAGGGGTGGGCTGTGCGGGTGTGGGGTGTGGGAGTGTAGGAGTGGGCTGCAGGGGGTGTTTAGAGGTGGGATGCGGGAGTGCATGGGTGTGGGGATGTAGGGGTATAGGGGTGGGCTGTGCGGGTGTGGGGTGTGGGAGTGTAGGAGTGGGCTGCAGGGGGTGTTTAGAGGTGGGATGCGGGAGTGCATGGGTGTGGGGATGTAGGGGTATAGGGGTGGGCTGTGCGGGTGTGGGGTGTGGGAGTGTAGGAGTGGGCTGCAGGGGGTGTTTAGAGGTGGGATGCGGGAGTGCATGGGTGTGGGGATGTAGGGGTATAGGGGTGGGCTGTGCGGGTGTGGGGTGTGGGAGTGTAGGAGTGGGCTGCAGGGGGTGTTTAGAGGTGGGATGCGGGAGTGCATGGGTGTGGGGATGTAGGGGTATAGGGGTGGGCTGTGCGGGTGTGGGGTGTGGGAGTGTAGGAGTGGGCTGCAGGGGGTGTTTAGAGGTGGGATGCGGGAGTGCATGGGTGTGGGGATGTAGGGGTATAGGGGTGGGCTGTGCGGGTGTGGGGTGTGGGAGTGTAGGAGTGGGCTGCAGGGGGTGTTTAGAGGTGGGATGCGGGAGTGCATGGGTGTGGGGATGTAGGGGTATAGGGGTGGGCTGTGCGGGTGTGGGGTGTGGGAGTGTAGGAGTGGGCTGCGGGGGGTGTTTAGAGGTGGGGTGCGGGAGTGCATGGGTGTGGGGATGTAGGGGTATAGGGGTGGGCTGTGCGGGTGTGGGGTGTGGGAGTGTAGGAGTGGGCTGCAGGGGGTGTTTAGAGGTGGGATGCGGGAGTGCATGGGTGTGGGGATGTAGGGGTATAGGGGTGGGCTGTGCGGGTGTGGGGTGTGGGAGTGTAGGAGTGGGCTGCAGGGGGTGTTTAGAGGTGGGATGCGGGAGTGCATGGGTGTGGGGATGTAGGGGTATAGGGGTGGGCTGTGCGGGTGTGGGGTGTGGGAGTGTAGGAGTGGGCTGCAGGGGGTGTTTAGAGGTGGGATGCGGGAGTGCATGGGTGTGGGGATGTAGGGGTATAGGGGTGGGCTGTGCGGGTGTGGGGTGTGGGAGTGTAGGAGTGGGCTGCAGGGGGTGTTTAGAGGTGGGATGCGGGAGTGCATGGGTGTGGGGATGTAGGGGTATAGGGGTGGGCTGTGCGGGTGTGGGGTGTGGGAGTGTAGGAGTGGGCTGCAGGGGGTGTTTAGAGGTGGGATGCGGGAGTGCATGGGTGTGGGGATGTAGGGGTATAGGGGTGGGCTGTGCGGGTGTGGGGTGTGGGAGTGTAGGAGTGGGCTGCAGGGGGTGTTTAGAGGTGGGATGCGGGAGTGCATGGGTGTGGGGATGTAGGGGTATAGGGGTGGGCTGTGCGGGTGTGGGGTGTGGGAGTGTAGGAGTGGGCTGCGGGAGGTGTTTAGAGGTGGGGTGCGGGAGTGCATGGGTGTGGGGATGTAGGGGTATAGGGGTGGGCTGTGCGGGTGTGGGGTGTGGGAGTGTAGGAGTGGGCTGCGGGAGGTGTTTAGAGGTGGGGTGCGGGAGTGCATGGGTGTGGGGATGTAGGGGTATAGGGGTGGGCTGTGCGGGTGTGGGGTGTGGGAGTGTAGGAGTGGGCTGCGGGAGGTGTTTAGAGGTGGGGTGCGGGAGTGCATGGGTGTGGGGATGTAGGGGTGTAGGGCTGGGCTGTGCGGGTGTGGGGTGTGGGAGTGTAGGAGTGGGCTGCGGGAGGTGTTTAGAGGTGGGGTGCGGGAGTGCATGGGTGTGGGGATGTAGGGGTATAGGGGTGGGCTGTGCGGGTGTGGGGTGTGGGAGTGTAGGAGTGGGCTGCGGGAGGTGTTTAGAGGTGGGGTGCGGGAGTGCATGGGTGTGGGGATGTAGGGGTATAGGGGTGGGCTGTGCGGGTGTGGGGTGTGGGAGTGTAGGAGTGGGCTGCGGGAGGTGTTTAGAGGTGGGGTGCGGGAGTGCATGGGTGTGGGGATGTAGGGGTGTAGGGCTGGGCTGTGCGGGTGTGGGGTGTGGGAGTGTAGGAGTGGGCTGCGGGAGGTGTTTAGAGGTGGGGTGCGGGAGTGCATGGGTGTGGGGATGTAGGGGTATAGGGGTGGGCTGTGCGGGTGTGGGGTGTGGGAGTGTAGGAGTGGGCTGCGGGAGGTGTTTAGAGGTGGGGTGCGGGAGTGCATGGGTGTGGGGATGTAGGGGTATAGGGGTGGGCTGTGCGGGTGTGGGGTGTGGGAGTGTAGGAGTGGGCTGCGGGAGGTGTTTAGAGGTGGGGTGCGGGAGTGCATGGGTGTGGGGATGTAGGGGTGTAGGGCTGGGCTGTGCGGGTGTGGGGTGTGGGAGTGTAGGAGTGGGCTGCGGGAGGTGTTTAGAGGTGGGGTGCGGGAGTGCATGGGTGTGGGGATGTAGGGGTATAGGGGTGGGCTGTGCGGGTGTGGGGTGTGGGAGTGTAGGAGTGGGCTGCGGGAGGTGTTTAGAGGTGGGGTGCGGGAGTGCATGGGTGTGGGGATGTAGGGGTGTAGGGCTGGGCTGTGGGAGGCACACGTGGAGGTGGGGGGTTTGCAGATGTCAGGTTCTAGGAGCAGATGAACCCAATGGCCGGCTGAGTTGCTGTGGGTGGCCTAGCTGCCACCCTCCCCATCTCATCTCTTGTTCTCCGCAGGTCTCTGGCGCCGTGCTGGTCTCGGGGTGTTCTGCTCGGCCAGCTGGGGGGTCGCCCTGCTGTACGTGAGTCTGGGGCCCTGCAGCGGGGGGACTTGGGGAGCTGTCTGGCTGCACCCACATGGGGCTCTGGCTCTGGTTCTCCCAGTGGGGGGGGACGGTGGAGAATGGTGCCAGGGGAACTCCCCACTACTGCATTCCCTTCACCAGACACTAATGGTGAGCTCCCTTTCTGCTCGGCCAGCTGGGGGGTCGCCCTGCTGTACGTGAGTCTGGGGCCCTGCAGCGGGGGGACTTGGGGAGCTGTCTGGCTGCACCCACATGGGGCTCTGGCTCTGGTTCTCCCAGTGGGGGGGGACGGTGGAGAATGGTGCCAGGGGAACTCCCCACTACTGCATTCCCTTCACCAGACACTAATGGTGAGCTCCCTGGCTCTCCCAGCAGGGGGCGCTGGGGGAATGGCACGTGCACATGGGGGAAGGAACTGCTCTCTCCCAGCAGGGGGTGCTGGGGGAATGGCACAACTGCATTCCCTTCACCAGACACTAATGGTGAGCTCCCTGGCTCTCCCAGCAGGGGGCGCTGGGGGAATGGCACGTGCACATGGGGGAAGGAACTGCCCTCTCCCAGCAGGAGGCGCTGGGGGGCTGCCCCGGGGCTCCGTGCCGTGACCCGGCTCCATCTCTCCTAGGCTCGTGGTCCTCGCGGTGCTCTTCTCCCAGCACTTGAGTTCCTGCCGCCTGCCCCTTTGCACATGGACCCGGGCCCAGGGCGTCTCCGTGGAGACGAGCATCCCTGCCTTGCGCATGTTCTCGGTACGAGGCCCCGTGCTGCCCGCGGCGTGTCACTCCCCTGGCTGGGCACCGCCCCCTCGAGCATGGCGCAGAGCCAGAGCCAGGGGCCGTGGGTCAGGCCGTAGCACAGGGCTGGACAAAGGCCCCGTAATGCGTGTGGAGGGGGCTTGTAAGGGGCTTGTGCTGGGCCCCGGGCTCAGCAGAGCTCCAGCCTGTGCCGGGAAGGGCTGGCAGCGGGAAGGCGAACGATCCAGGCCTGGGAGCGTAGAGACGAGAGGCTCCGGGTGTCTAAGGGGGGTGAGAAGGGGGCGCGGAGGCGCTTGAGGAGACTGGCAGGTGGTAGCGCAGGAAGAAACGGGTTTCACTCAGGGCACGTCTGCCCCACGGGACAAGGTCGCATTGAGCTACACAACTTCAGCTGCGGTCACCCTGTAGCTGGAGTCGAAGTCCCTGGCCTCGGCCTTTGGCGCTGGCCCTGCTGCAGGAAGCCAAGGGGAGGGCGCTCGCCCTTTGACTTCCCTCGCTCCTCGTGGGAGCAGGACTGCCAGCATCGAGCGGCGCGCCCCTCTCCCTTCGGACGAGCGGTCTGCGCTAGCCCCGCTCAGTGGGACCCTGGAAGGTCCATCGTCTCTGTAGCGCAGCCGCCCCCGGGTGTAATTAGCCTGTGGATTGCATGGGCACAGGGAGTCCTGGTTCGCAAGGGGCTGGACGAGCACGGGACATTCTGGCCAGGCTGTCCCCCTCCAGGCCAGGGCGTGAGCGGCTCTGACCTGCCTGAGGCCAGGGCCTGGGGAGCTGCAAGGGGGGAGAGCAC